CAATTGTCCGTCTCTACCTTTGTCTGCAATTCAATTCCATTGTTGCCTTCACTTCTTGGCGGTCTTATATACAAGAATATCGCACACCCAGTAAACACTCGAGCATTCACGAACCTTCAAGAATATCATGACGTGTTACTAGCGTCACGTGACTTCCGCAGTCGTAGCAATACTTTAAATATTTATTTTTCCTCACTAATCGAGGGTTTGTGTACAAATTGGTGTAATGCAGTAATTTTTTATAGCCTCTTTTAAGTTTTTTCTTTATAAATTTGAGTTCATTGTATATGGAGCAAAGTCACGGAATAAATTATACTCTTTATTTTGAGAAGAAATGTCTTATTCAATTATTTAGTAGTTAAAGCTGTATTGTTTTACGCAGCTTTAACTATAGATCATTGGCGAGGTAAAAGTCCTTTGTTGGCTACTTTACCGATAGAAAGTAAAACTCGCGAAATTTGGTTACACAAATTAGTATTGTTTAAACTTAAGAGCCTGCAGTATAATTACATTTAAAGTAAAGCCAGTTCTTTCTAACACGTATTTTGTGTTCTTTGTTTAAGAAAACCAAAACAAGTATTTGCTATGAAGATGACAGTTTTTAAAAATTGTATACAACATTTTTTTCAGTAATTCCCCTTTTTATAGGTGTGTTTAGGGTTAACTTTAGGGTTAAGATCTATAAAGTTATAAACAGTAGAGATTAAAGAAAGGCAGAAGTTTATGAAGACGCGCTATTCAAGTCAAGTACATTATTTAAACCCGCCATGAAAGAGAATATTAGAATATCAATAACACAGGTTTTTAAAAATAAAAGTCTATATAGTAGTACCAGAATTGAAGGGAACGCAGTTTCCGTTGTTAAAATAAATATCAGTCCCGTCGCCTTTTTTTTTTAATAGAATCGTGCTCGTGTACGAATGTTTCGAGAGGGAAAATTCAGTTACTGACTTTGTTTCAGTAGAGGCAAGTGTGTACATCTATAAACTTATTGATTCTTTCTGTGCCAGTTATTATTTCCACAAACCATTGGTAAAGTTGGTTTTAGCTTGCTCTTAACATTTGTTTTTTGAAAAGTTCTTCTTAAATCTTAATTTTAATCTAATTAGTGATTGATCAATGAGTTAAATAAATTTGCGCTGTATATATCTCTATAAGATCCTACCTTATAGAGTATGTACTCTGTATTATACTTAGGGACTTTCCCTTGCTGAGTAGTTAAAATTCGGGCATTGTCATAAAGACTGATAAAGTATGTTCCCTAAACCTACCTTGAAAGGATATATTAGCTTATTAACAACACATATTCAAAAAATAGAAAAGAAAAAAGAACATTAACTTGTTAAACAGGTTAGAAATACAGGAGAGGAAGCGCCCATACATGATTTATTTGAAGGGTAAAAAAGACCTGTTTCGAGATTATCGCCCTCTGAGGGTGATTCCACTCAGGTTTTGAAATCTTGTTGGAATTGCTTAGGTAAGCGACAACGGATATGGTAGTTAAACTGAGAGGAACCAGAGAATTTTACTTAACGATTCTTCATAATAAAGTTAGTTGTTAATTGTCTGTAGCGTTCCTTGCGAATTATACTACAATAGGTGACATGTCACAAGAACGACAACATCTGCTAAGTCTTTTCACCTTATTGGTAATTGTACTCGTTTTGATTCGGAACGCGATAGGACAACGACGGTCGTTTTCTATGAGACCTCATGTTGTTTTGATTGTAGCGGATGATTTAGGTAAGTTTGAAATTTTTGATTAAAAATAATATTTATTTATTTATCTTCTTAGCTACTTTATTTTTGCTGCATTACTATTAATGTTCTTATGTTAGTCTAGTTACTTCGAAGCGAATTACTCGCGGTTAACTTGAAATAATATAAGTATTTTACTTAAAGATTCTTTATGGTGCTTCCTTAAATAATATTTATTTGTAATATCATTAACCATGTTTGGAGTAAGTCTTTTGGCTTGGTATTGTTACGTATCTGTTTGTTTGTTAATTTCCGGTAGAAATTCTATCTGAGGAACTTCAGCGATACAAGTCCCTTCTTGATTATAAACCAGTTTATTCTTTCTCGATACAAACTTTTAGTACACAGTAATTCCACAGTCAGCACGTTTCTCGTCACTTTAAACTTAACTACTTTTATAATACACTCTATAAATCACAGCGATTCACAATCTCGAAAACACACACAAGCTCGAAACAAAATCGTAAATTACCCGAACTCTCTTCATTCATTTCCGCAGGCTTTCTCTGCCAGGCTTATATACTAAAGAAGGGGGTGTCCAGAATAAACTTCTTAATTATCTTCCCCGATAATTCATGATCACGTGACGTGAGAAAAGAAACAAAAAGAACGAGAAAAAAAAACAAGAAGAGAGATTACGGCAGTGGCTGGAGGAGAAAGAAAATAAACAAGAAGAGAGACTACAGCAGTGGTTGGAGGAGAAAGCAAATAAACAAAAAGAGAGGCTACAGCAGTGGTTGGATGAAAAAAAAGCAAATAAACAAGAAGAGAGACTACAGCAGTGGCAAGAAAACCAGCACCAGTGGCAACTGGAACAAGAAAGGAAACAAGAAGAACGAGAAAAGAAACAGGAAGGAAGTCTCCAACAGTTGCGGGAAAGTCAGCAACAGTGGCAAGAAGTACAAATGGAAAAGATTAGTAAATTTCAAAGTGAATTAAATACATTAAAGGATGAGTGACTGTCTTTTACACAGGGAGGATGTAATAACCATGAGCCTAATCAGCCCCAGACAACAGGAAGCTCCTTCCAGACCCCGCAGCTAAACCCTAATGCAGACATCTTCAGTCCTGCCAGAAGTCACATTCCAGACATGAGTGTCAGCAATAGGGGTGATCTAGTATGAAGGAAGACACAGAAATTCGATGGGAAGGCACCATGGGAAGCATATAGAGCACAATTTGAGCTCCTGGCAGAAATGAATGGATGGATAGAGGAGCAGAAAGCAGTGTACCTGGCAACGAGCCTGAAGGGACAACCACTGGACAGTTGTCAGCAGACGACAGGCACAACTATAGAGCACATGGTAGCTGCTTTAGAACTCAGGTATGAAACTCAAAATCAGTCCAAAGTCTACAAGGCTAGGTTTAGGACTAGAGTCCGT